TACACATTCTATATACAGTATCTAGGAAAAATGACAGAGAAAACGTAGAATAATAATGTGGTTTGCTCTGTTAGGGGTAAAATAAAGATTCTATTTAGCTGAGCAGTGGAGGTGGTGGTGGACGCACTGATGAATTGTAATGTAGGATTAGAGTGAACAGAATAATATGTGTGTGCAAACAAAACCAGAAATCTATTAATGCCATGCACTAATATTTTAAATTCCTAAAGCTAGCTTCATTTCTACAGCCTAAATACAATATAAAGATAAAAATATAATCAGTATTTAGTACTGTCAAAATCTTACTAATGTAACAGTGATGCTTTAAACTAACTCAAAATAAAGTTGTATGTATCGTATTATCAAGTTGTATTGCTACATTATCAGAATCAGGTAAAAGGACAAAAGAAATTGCATAATCAAAATCATTATCATCAAAGATAACTCTATCAACAAAAATAACAAAACAAAACTCAGATCTGCAAATAATCACTATACTTTGCTAATCAACAAATAGTCATTGGAGGCTCACATACAGTTAAACACATCTTTCCTTTTCTCAGTAGGGACAGATTAGCCCACTGCACAGGGATGCAGTGTGCAATAATAACAGTAGCACCATTACTGGTGCATGTCCATGGAATTTACAAGTCAGGATAGTTTTACGTGTGGAGTAGTTGGGGAGGGGTAGCCAAACAGGGGGAAGAATAGTTGGGTGGGTAGAAGGAGTGTCAATTCTTTATTTGAGAGATTGAATGTCACCTCTTGCCCAATTTTCAATAGGATAAAAAAAATCTTGACCCTCCATAAAAACTGAATGCAGTTTATTGGTTTGCTGCATATTGTGGTTGCATTGTTGGTCAAAAAGAGGAAGGTTTGTATTGGGTTTCTTACACTGTATTTGGGTACTTATGCTAAGTAGTTTACCCTTGCAGATTTTACTGTCACAACTTGGCAACCTCCCTATTTGTTTGACATGCAACTCCCTTCCATGTGCTCCTTTCTGAAAAGGCCAGATTTAGGTTGGGGTGGTTGCTATTTGTTTGTACTGTTGGTTAATTGGTGAGGGGATGCACTGGATACCTTTGCTACCATTGTGCATCCATTACTATATATGTGCTCCAACTTTGGAGGCTCTCAAAATTTATAGAGTTTGGACTGCAGTGCACCAGGATGCTGTGAAGTAGCTGGTGACTGAGCTGGGAATTTTTCTTTCATGTTTGACATGCGTCACCCATCCATGTGCTTTTTGCTTCAACAACCAGTTAAAGGTTGTGGTGGTTGCCATTTGTTTGCCAAGTGGCAGACAGTACAGCAAGTGCAATTTTAGAGAAGAAGGTTTTAGTGTTAGCTTTGGTTTGTATCCAACCTGGAGCCAGGTTAAGTTAGACTTGTGCAGTTATGCCCAAGAAAGCTGAAGAAAGGCGATACAGCTAGTAGACAAATTGGCTTTAAGTTAGGGTATCAATTTATTTTTGTGTTTGTTTCATCCCATCAATTAAATTCTGCAAAGATACTTTTTTAAATGTTGAGATTATTTAATTACTTGGCTCTTACTGATGTTATTTCAAACTATACTATATGAATTTGTAAATCCAAAGAGAAAATAAAATGGTGGTTTTTATGGAGATTAAACAAAAAGATAGGGGAAGGAGGAATGTGTGGGTATGTTGGAGAGTGTGCAGGGGTGAGCACCAAGACTTTTCCAGTGGTTGGTACTTTTCTGTGTATTAATAAATTCTTCCGATGGTCGAAAGTGATTGCTATTGCACCCAAGGTAGGACTCAGATCTCTACAATGAACCATTAGTTTGGAACCAGCCTGTGTATGACTACCCTGAATTTCCAGATTAGCAGATAATCACTTTATATGCTAAGAATATATTGGTTTTATCTTCTTTTAGATAATAGAAGCTCATTGAACTCTGAGCAGAATGGGAATCTTTATTGTACATTAGGCAGTTCTACATTTTACATGCTACTGTTTTTCAGTTTTTTTTTAGTACAGAGTAAAAGATAGTGAGAAGTTTAGCTAAATATATCTACACAGCGGGTCATTTGCTTCCAGGCAGTTCTTAAAGTAAAAAAAAGAGAAAACTGCAGAATGGAGGATTGTGTATTGTTTTATTTGTGTTCTGTTCAACAACAGAATGCAGGCAGAATCCTCAGCATGACATCTTTCACCTCCTTACAGTATGTACAGTGCGAGTCTGGCTCACCAGCCACTCAGGATGCCTCCAGCTGAGAAATGATATTAGTGTTTCTAGCTTTCAGTATCATTAAAAATTATCTCTACTAGAAATGTAGAAATAACTTGGCTCTCTAATGTAAGGAGCTGTAGGAAGCCAGTAACATAGGCGTACTGCTACTGTTCTGGCAAAGAAGTCAAATAATTTATCCTTTTGCTTATTACGGAATACAAAATAGTTGGCAGAGTGTGCTGTCATTAACAACTGACCCTGAGCATAGCTCTCTGCTAGATGAAACATGATGCATCACTGATCATAGTCCATAGACAAAATGACTTATTGGGTAAGGAATGGTAGAGGAGGAGGAGGGGGAGCAGAAGCCTTCAGACAAAGGACATTAGTACACAGTGCAAGGTCTTGATTTTAGGAAATCGTCCTCATCCCCAAGGCATTTGATGCTATAAATATGATCAGACATCTACAGAAAAAGAATTGATTATCAACTACAATATAAAAAGTAAGATAGAAGAGTTAGAGGTAAAAAACTAGAATGCAATGCAAGGTGAGTCATTTCATGTGTAAATGGGCTGAAAAGTAACTGGTCAGTCCTGTTGCCTTTCATCATAGTGATCCCACCAAGAACAATATCTGAATGTTCTCCAAATGTTTAAGTGGGTTTCTTCCCACTAACAAAACTAGCCAGAATGTGTTTATGACTATGACATCCCACTGTAAGGTCGTTGAGGGTCATGGCTTAATGTGAATGGATTGATGTTCTCAGCACTCTTGAAACATCTGGGTATAAATGAGTAGAACCCACAGACAGAAGAAAAGAACAGTGATTGTCTGGATAAATAGTTGAAATGTTATTTTACAATGCAAATAAGATGAGGTATGCAGGGAGATACAGGCTTATAGTTAAAATAGAATTTTAGTCAGAAAATGAAGTCCTGCTAGATCACTTCAGACTGGCCCTATTTTCTGGTATAGCTACAGTATGTAAAACATAAAAAAGAAGTGCTTATACTGTTTAAAATCCAGTATTACACGGTCTCACTCTGCTCTGCACATGCTCAGTTGCTCTCAATTTTTACGCTCTGTGCTGAATTTGTAGAGGCCAATTTGCTGCCAGCCTAAAGATTGAATGCTTCTAAGGGCTCTGGGCTTCAGCAAAATGGCAGCATCCAGCAAGAAGAAACAGGAACAATGCTGGAGGAAATTTACAGCACACAGCACACAGTTTTGGCAGCATAATTATTAATATGGAACACATGTTTCTTGCTAAAGTATATTATTTTTTATCAGGTTGTTATGGGCAAAGTTCCACTTAAATATAGTATTTTTTCGTAAGAATAGGGTTTATTCTTTAATTTTCATACTAACTTGTTAAAAAATAATGTTCTTTAGCAAAGAATATGCATTCCGCATTAATAATTAAGCTACCAAAATCAGTGTGTGCTGTAAATTGCCTCCAGCCGTGTTCCTGTTTCTTTGTGCTGGAGCCTACCATTTTGCTGAAGCCCAGAACCCCTGAGCAGCAGTGAATTTTAGGCACAGTGCCGAAAATACAGAGCAGCTAATTATGTGTAGAGCAGGGTGTGACAGAACATTATTGGATTTTAAACAGTGTAGGCACTTATTATTAATGTTTTACATTATATTATACTATATCTGCAAAAGGGGTCAACAACCTAATTTTCCAAATAAAGTTCCACTTTAACTTTTGTTTTTCAGCTGCATTCATTGTAAAATAGAAAGTAAGATCCTTAAAAAAATCATTTCTACAGGCAGTTTGCCTACACTGGATAATGCCTGTGGGTTTAGGAGTGCATCTCTGTAGTTTATTTGTAGGAACAGTTGTATTTGCTCTCTGAATGATAGCATTCTGTTCATCAGCCATACAATTCACCATCATAATCACATAAAAAATTAATGACCGTGTTATGCTTGTCAGTTCTATCTTGATCTGGCTGTCTTATGTGCAGGTTCTCCCCCCTCTGCTTCAAAAAAGCTCAGTCTGCCTTTTTCCATACCTCTGTGAAAGGCTGCAAGGTAGAAATCCTAGACTCATGAGATAGAGGGTTATCTGTGACTTAACTGCCAAAACACTTAACCTTTTTATACCGGATGCTGCTCTTACTAAATCAAATCAGTCTTTACAAATCCATACAGAGCTTGTAAAAGACTAATTAAACATTGTTGGGAACTTTATATTCCAATGCAAGGCTAAACAGGATTGAACATTCAGAACAGATTTAAAGATGAGTTCCAGGAAGAAATTTAAAATCACCGATGACTGTAGTAGTGTATCTAATAATCTAGTGTTAATATTATAATAAACTAAGTGTAACTAGTATAAATAATTAATTTTGACTTGATTTCAGCCTCTTGTAAACCCTGAACAGAAATACTTTAAATGGAAGAGGGAGCAGCCACACTAGAGACCAATCAGTTGTGCTACTGTATATGCACGTGGGCTGATGAGGAACCCACCGATAGGAGCAGAAAGCACTGAGATGGCCTCATCAGTGTGTTGCAGCTCTCTCACGGTCAAGTCACTGACTGTGGACAAAGAGGTGACCTTACTGTATTTCGTAATCGCAGCATAGAAAAGATAGATCCAGACGCTGGCTTCGGTATGTGGCAGAGCTTTGTAAATCTTAGGATGGATGTACAGAAAAACAAACCATTGGGCAGGTACCATATACACAGTTAACTAAAGAAACCAAGAGCAGTTATTGAACAGCTTACCCATCTCACAATAAGGGAGTGGTCCAACATAACCAAATTCAATCTCTCAAAATAATAAATGTATGACCTCAAATAGTCTTGAGACCATAAAAAGTGGCTACTAAGTGGACCTTACAGCATTGACCCTTGCAATAAATGTTAATTCCTAAAACAATATGTGTTTATTTATTCTCAAAGTTAAAAATTGCCATAAATATGGCTCAATCAGGGGCGGACTGACTATTTGGAAACCCGGGCACTGCCCGAGGGCCCGAGGTCAGTAGGGGGCCACATGAGGTACCCCTGGTACCTTTTTCATAGGCTTTTTTGAGTTTGGGCAAGGACACAGGGGCCCCATGATCCTCTATTGCTCGGGGGCCCCATGAGTTGTCAGTCTGCCCCTGGGCTCAATACACAAATATTATAAATTAGTGACACCCACCACCACCACCACCACAAATTTTCAATAAAGGCAACGTCTTGGCATGGGTTAAAAAAACAACAACATTCATGTGGTATCACTAATGACTTCTGGAGAAGGCAATAACTCTAATAACTGTTACAACTAAGGCAAGTAGTCATCCAGATGGTCACTAGGATGCTCCTCAGAGAATATACAGTTGCAAGAAAAAGTATGTGAACCCCTTGGGATGAGTTTTGCATGAATTGGGCATAAAATGTTGAACGTCATCTAAAAGTCACAACAATGAAACCCTGCTGAACATAATACTACACAAATATTAGAATGGTTAATTGCACCTAAAACAATATGTGTTTATTTAACTGGTTTCTCAAAGTTCAAAAAATTGCATACAAATGGATGGCTCATAAAATCAGGGGCGGACTGACTATTTTGGAGGTCAGGACTCCTGGGCCACTCCGAAGGGGTGCTGTTGCCCATTGAGGTCTTGTATGGGGCCACATTGTCCCATCACCCATCCTCTGCGGAGCTTCAGTTGGCGGACTTTTTCGTAGCTTTTTCCTGCAAAATGTCTTGGGCAATGGTCCAGGCCCTGACAGCAAAGGCCCCCCATGATCCCTATTGCTCCACACTTGGGGCCCCATCAAGTTTCATTGTCAGTCTTGAACATCCCTCTTTTGGGCTGCAATACTTTTTGGACAGCAAAGTGTCCCCCATTATCCTTATTGTGATATGTCAACCATGTGCCAGAGATTTCCAGCTGACACTCTGGGATTCTACACCTCATGCAATTCTGCGCTGTGCTCTTGCAGTCATTTTTACAGGACGACCAATAGCAACAGTGCTAAACTTTCTCCATTTGTAGACAGTCTGTCTTACCATGGACATGAACATCAACATAACCCTTTTCATGCATAAAGGCAAGCTCTTTTCTGCGAGGCTTCAGACAGTGCTTCTTGAAACCAACAACAGGACAGCTGTCAGTGGTATCATCACACTGAAGGTTGACTCCAATTCTGGAGAAGGCAATTAAGCTAACATACTCCTCCCTGCAACTGTTACATGTTATGTGCAATAACCATGGTAATGTTTCATTAGATGTTGTGACTTAGATGACGTTCAGAGCACATTTTATGCCCAATTCATGCAAAACTCCACGTAATCCCAAGGGGTTCACATACTTTTTCTTGCAACTGTACATACTTCATTTGTACTTTGATTGCATCTTTTCCTATTTGCCTGTAGTGCAGCTTTAATGTTACCCTTGGAATTTTGCACCTTAGCTCTCATTGGAAAATGCAAAAGCCTAAAGCACCTTTAGCAAGGACTTTTTTTTAGTGGGTTAAAGGAATTCTATGGTCACTGCATTCACATTAATTTTATAAAATCAGCATTGTAGTAGCAATACAAACAATAATTATTTTGACTATCCAATATAAGCTTACTTGAAAAATTTCCTTTCATGTTGTGAATGCTGTTTCTCTGCCATCAATCTCTTCCCACAGCTTTCGCTGCATCATTACAGATTCTCCTCTGCTATTTACTTTTGATTTCTACATATCCCATGGTACCTTGTTGTCTGCAAGCAGCGGCCCCTATACTTATTCCACCTCCTGATACTCCTCCTCTCAGAACCTCTGTAGTTCAGAAGGCAGGCTTTGTGAAATGCGTGACACAGCAGTGCCTACTTACAGTGCATAGCGAATACATGTTACAGAATTGAAGGAAATAAATGTGTGGGGATCTTCACAAAGTAAATTTACAAACTCCAAGATTGTTCAGATTAATATTAATAGGAGTAGGCTACAAATAGTTGAACTACAGTATGGAAATGAATATATGAATTTACATTTTGACCACAGACACGCTTACCTTACCATGATGCTTTTTGGAGCCCTTCTTCCGTTATTATATTTTTACACACAATTTTATAGATCATTGTAAATAAGAAAAAAATCCCATAATAACTGAAACCAAATTTATGCTGTAATGTGCTTAGTTTGTGTACTTCGAGCTTTGTCTTATCTGCACATATTTTGCGCTTTGCTTTCCTTTCTTTCCAACAGTATCAGTCCAATGCAGACAGCTCCTTACAAGCAGTATGTGACCTACACTGAATTCATCCAGTTATCTCCTATTTGGTAGAATACATAGTTCGGCCTTCGTTAGAAATGCTCTTATGTCATGAAAGAAAAATCAATAGGACACATAAATAAAAGACAGATCTCTGAAACGTATTTTTTATTTTCTAGTATGTCTGTTAGATAGAGAACCCGTTAAAATGTTAGATGTAAATGTACAATATATACAGTATGTAAAGCTATTGTTGGAGCTACATAAACACCTGGAATAAATGTTATTATAAACAGATAGGAAATATGACAGAAAATATTCACAAATGGTTCATTTATGCTGTAAGCTTCCTTTGCCACAGCAAACAATGAATAAGTGTTGGTTCACATATATGCGGATTGATAGCGGTTTAAAAAAAATTGCTTCCTGTGGTGCTTTTTCACATACTATATATACTGTACACTGGCGATGCGGATTCAGTGCGGTTTGAAAAAGAGTCATGTCCGATATCTGAGCAGTGCCTTCAGGTTCAGGTGGAGATTATTGAACTCTATGGGAAATAGTTTCTAAATTGCATATATGTGAACAAGATAAAATCCTGAACTGAAACTGATGTAAACCTGACATGAACAGCTGAACAACTGTATGAAATAGTTGTAAAACCTGAGCTTCACTCCCCACCACACATTTGTGAATCAACTCTAACAACATAAATTATCAATTAAAACTTACAGCAATCACCAAACGTCTGCCATCTTTCATCCCTCAATTGGTCATTTCATTAGATATTTGAATGCATATGAAGTTGTGTAACAAAAGAAAGCCTTAAAGTCAAACTTGAGATGATCCTACAAATTTGGCTCTTCGGAGCTATCCAAATCCAAAAAACTATATCATAACACATTCTAAGTCTTCCCAGGGTTCCACTTGAACAATCCATTAACCAAACATTTGGCCAGAATAAAAAAAATGGACAAGCTCAGTATCCAGTTTTTAATAAAACAAGATCTTAAATAATACTGTTTTAAAGTAAGTTACTTTAGGGAGATACAGTTATGCCTCATATTAGAATACTTTTTTGATGCCCAGCAGATATTATTTAACCACTTCAATACCGGACGCTTTCATCCCTTTCAAGACCAGGCCAATTTTCAGTTTTCAGTATTGTCGCATTTTTTTTAGACAGAGTTTTCTTTTGCTGATATTTAATCACAACTGGGTTTTTTTTTATTTTTTGCTAAACAAATGAAAAAAAAAGACTGAAAAGTTGGAAAAAAAAAAACATTTTTCTTCATTTCTGTTTTACAATTTTGCAAATAAGTAATTTTTTTTAACTTTTATAAGATGTGCACTTATAAGACTGCACTGATGAGGCTACACTGATTGACACGTATAAAGCTGCACTGATGGCCACTGATGAGGTGGCACTGATGGCCACTGATGATGCGGCACTGATAAGCTGCACTGATGGCCACTGATGAGGCTGCACTAATAACTGATGGGCACTGATATGGCGCACTGATATGCTGCATTGATGGCACTGATATGTCTGCACTGATCAGCACTGATATTCTGTACTAATGAAGCTGCACTGGTGGGCACTGATATGCCACACTGAGGGGGCTGCACTGATATGCTGCACTAATGGGACTGCACTGATGGGTACTGATATGCTGCACTGAGGGGGCTGCATTGATGAGGTTAGCAGTGTAAATTATCAGTATAAATTTCCCTGTCATAGGAAAGCCGGTTATTGGCTTTCCTTTCCTCAGCAGTGTGACAGCGCTGATGATAGGAAATGCCATAAAACCAGAATTTGTTTACAGGTGATCAGCTGTGATTGGACACAGCTGATCACATGGTAAAGTGCCAATGTCATTGGCTCTTTACCCTGATCAGTGATGCGCTGAGTCCCCGTGGGCATGCATGCATGGCAAGAATGGGATCATATCACGTCCTTCCAGAATGAGAGAGGTCCCACCTAGCCATCATTCTGCAATAGCATTGTAGTACAATAGCAGCCCTCAAAATTTCAACCTGCCTGCTCGCATTTTGAGAGTGTAAATAACATGGGGGCGAGCAGGGCTGGGACTAGGTGTGGGTGGGCAGTTGTGGGGGCAGTTACAAGCACCGATCTCCCTGTATGGTTTTTAATCAAGCAGCTGAAATCCGTGGAATGGAGAGGAGGTGAAGCGGTTTCCAGCTGCTTCATTGAAAGCCATACTGGGAGATCGGTGCTTGTAACTGCCACCACCACTGCACCAATCATCCCCAACCATTCTTTCTGGGCCCCCCGTGTGCTCTTTAGTGTCAAGCCCCTCCCTCCATCCTCTGCACCAATAGGAGAGGAGAGAGGCTGGATCTGCTCTGCCTCCCCCTGTGCCTGCCCACACTCCAGTCCATGCCGCTGCTCTGAAGGAGATGTGTGGGTGGGAAATTGTGTCAGAGCAGCTGGCAGCTCTGTGACCCTCTCCTCTCCCTTCCCCTCCTCTCCCCTCTCTTTCCTTCCTCCCCTCCCTTTCCTTCCTTCCTTCCTTCCTCCCCTCCCTTTCCTTCCTTCCTCCCCTTCTTTCCTTCCTCCCTCCCTTTCCTTCCTTCCTTCCTTCCTACCTTCCTTCCCTTTCTTCCACACAGTACGCACTCCTCCCCCTTCACTATACGTCACACTGCTGACCTTCACATTGTGCATCATTTTGTTTCCCTATTGATATAAAGCACTTATTTTCCGTTTATGTTTACACGGCTTTATGTTAATATTGTTAAAGTTGTTGTTAATATTTATTTTTGTACCTTTATTCTGCATAAAACATTTAACAGTGTCATTTCATTTATACCAAATTATAATTTACAAGGCCGTGTTTAGGGGCAGAATTAGGGGTAGGG